AGATTTCTATCTGCTTTCTCTTATTCAAGCTCATAGCACTGCGAGGCCCTGCAGGGGCCCAGGCAGGTGGAATCGCTCTCCCCCGGGGGGAACAGAGGTAGAAGCGGGCTTCAAACCAAGCCCTCCACGCCGCAGCCTGCAGCCACCAGCAGAAAGGTGTGGGATCCACTCACATTGTGGAGTGTTGAGCAGCCACTTAAGAGAAAGGACAGCAGCTTTCCCTGCCTGGCAAAAGTAGCTTACAGAGGGGATGTGGGAAGAAGTAAGGCAGGCCGTGCACGTGGACCAGCTACTCACAGTGAACATGTTCATGATGCACTGCAAACACGTACCAATAAAATAAAACAAATGGGTTATGACATACGGCCATATAGAAAAAAGGAAAATGCCAAACTAACTGCCTGAAGTGCTTCCCAGGATAAGGCAGGGTGTAAATATGTTAATAAATAAAAATAGAGCACATAAAATTGAAGAAATATGTAAATTACAGCTATGGGGCACTGCTCACAGTAGCAGGGGAGGTGCTCACATGAAAGACAGTGACCAGGGTGTCATCCCAGCACCGAGGCAAGGAGGGAGGCATGGCCGACCCCAGAATTTGAGACTAGCCTGAGCAGCGTAGCAAGACCCTGCCTGGCAGGGAAAAGGTGACATGCCAAGTGTTTATCAGGATATGCAGCAACCAGAACTCGTAGGCATTGTTGGTAGGAGTATAAAGCAAAAAGTATTTTGGCAAATTTTTGTTGAGTATGCTCCAACCTTCTGACTCATTGGGCTTCAAACCAAGACCTCAGAAATCCTACGCTTTAGGTGCTGACTTGGAGTAAGTGATGTACCATCACACAAATAATTGTAGACAGTGCTGGTTGTAACTTTATTTGTAATAGGAAAAGATGAAAACAACTCAAATGCCCATCAACAAGAAAATAGATATGAGCTATTGTGTCCAGGACAAGCTCCTCACCAGAGGATGCCAGTGCCAGAGCCATGACCTTGGACCTCCAGAACTGTGAGCTGGCTGGGTGTGGTGGCACACACCTATAATCCCAGCACTCAGTAGGCTGAGGCAGGAGGATCACGGCAAGTTCAAAGCCAGCCTGCACTACCTGTTGAGTTCACTATGCCTGAACTGCCTAGAGAGACCCTGTCTCAAAAAAGAAAGAAAGAACTGTGAGACAAGGAAACTTCTTATCTCCATAAAGTACTGGGTCTTGGACATTTCATTATAGTAACTGAAAAGAGACCAGTTCAACACCCTCAAGTGCCTTTTGTAACTCTGCAGTACCCCTGACCCAGTCCCTCTAAGAGAGTGGAGCGTGGAAAAGGCAGTTGTCCCTCTTATCTCTTTCACAGAACAGAGAGGGCTGGGGAGGGCCTGGGTCAGGAGAGCTCACCTGGGCACTGATGCTAAGGAAGTGGACATTATGGGGGCAGCAGAGATGGGCAGCCAATTGCCCAGACAATGGAGTTCTGAAGGCAGGAGGGTGTGGCTGCCACATGACAAGGGGCACTTGGGACACACCTCAGCCAGATCCTGAAAGACGATGACCTAAAGGCTCCTGGGGTGACAGCAGCGAGACCCAGAATTCAGGCTCTAGAAAAGCCAAGTGAAGCAGGTTGCTTCCCAAGTTCTACGTGGGAGTGAGTGAAGTTGCGAGGCCTTGGAGCTATGAGGTTCGTGGGTCAGTGTCAGCCCCACAGGTGGGTCCAACCAGAGTGAGTGCAGGGACGCGTCAGGAAGGAGACACAGCAAAGCACCCATAAGAATTAGCTCTGTTCCCTGAGCAATGGGACTGCAAATGGTTTTCCTCCTTTATGTTTGCGGGTTCTTTACAAATTTATAATAAAAGAAAAACCTTGAAATGTATTTATGGACATGTGATTGCACATAAAATAGTGCCTGTCAAATATTTTTGTCTCAGAATATTTTTACCTCTTAAAAAATCATTGCAGAGCCTAAAGAATTTTCATTGGTGTGGTTTATATCTGTCGGTTTGATGGTGGTAGAGGTGAAAACGGAGGAGAATTTAAAATATTTATGTAGCTGGGTGTGATGGTGCACACCTATAATCCCAGGAGTCTGGGAGACTGAGACAGGAAGACTGAAGTTCAAGCCCAGCCTAGGAAATTTAATGACATAGTGAGACCTTGTCCCACCTCAAAAAAAAATAATTTAAAAGATCTGGGGATATAGCTCAGTGCCAAGGCCCTGAGTTCAATCCCCAATGCTGAAAACAAGGAATGTGTTATGGTTTGTAGCTAGATGCCCCCTCAAAGCCACATGCTCTCATAGGTGGGGCTTTTTGGAGCTGGCTGGATCTAGGGTGTGTGATGCTGGTGAGGCATTAAATTAGTCCACTGACAGGTGTGGGTGATGGGAAGACCACACTGGGTGTGGGTGGCACCACCCAAATAGCTCAGAACATGGATGGAACGTAAAGAGAGGTTCGTTGCCGCTGCTGCTGTTTTCTTTCTGCACTGCCATGGACTGTTTCTCCTCTGAGACGCCCCTCTGCCATGCATCCCCGCCTTTGAATGAGCCCAGTGGACTGAAACCTCTACAAACTGTAAACTGAAATAAACCTTTCGTCCTTTAACTTGTGAGTGTTGAGTATTTTGCCCCAACAACAAGAAAGTAAGTAGAGCAGATGTTGGTACCAGGAGCAGGGCCATTGCTGTGACATTACCTGGTCACATGGTTGAGAGGCCTTTGGAACTAGATTGTGGGAAGTGTCTTGTTTTCTCTGGGGACGTTTGGAGATGCTGTCTGAAGAAGCAGCCCTCGAATGCTGGAAGCTAAACTTGATGGGAGATTCTAGTCAGAGCTCAGAAGACCAGGAAGCTGATAAAAATGCAACTGGAAAAGACTAGCTCAAGACATTTCAGTTGGGAAAAAGGACTCCATTGGCAGTTGGACTCCAGGCAATATGTGTTATGCTTTGGCAGAAAATTTGTCTGCATTTTGTTGGAGCCCAGAGACTTTTCAGGAAAGAGATTAAGTGTGGGAAACTAATTAATCTGGCTGAAGATATTTCAAGGTAGTCTAATGATACGGTGACATGGCCACTGTTGTCCATCAAGAGCAAATGGAGGAGCAGAACGATTTAAAATTTTTTGAGCATGATGGTGCATACCTGTAATCCCAGCACTCAGGAGGCTGAGGCAGGAGGATCATTGGAAGTTCGTGACCAGCCTGGACTACAAAGTGAGCTCAAGGCCAGCCTGAACTGCATAGTGAGACCCTGTCCCCAAAAGACAAAAAATAAAATAAAATTTTTGAGTTTGGTCAGAAAGCAAGCTCCAGCAAAGTTGTGGCCTAAAAGGATGGAGCAGAGGAAAACTTGGTTGCTGAAAAAATGAGCAATAAAAAGCCAAGAATTTTTAAAGAAGGCAATGGAAAAGATGGCCTCAGGGCATCCCAAGAACCAACAGGACTTCACCCTTTGCAGACTTAAAATTACTAAGTTGAAAGATTTTGCTTTGAGGAAAGAACCCCAGAGTTCCATGTTCCAGAATGGTGGCAGCCTAGAGAATTTGTTCCTCAGGACTGGGTTCATAGGTCCCAGCAATCCAGGCACTGAACTCCTATGGCCAAGAGAAAGAGAAGTCTGGCTACTGCTCTAGCTGGCAATAGACCTTGGCATCATCCATGTAGTGCTGGTGTTAGGTGCATACAGAATGGGAGGACTGTGGAGTCAGGAAGGCTTCCACCCAGATTTCATTCCAGGCAGTGTGCCCCTGACGTGGCAGTGTGTGATGCTCTGAGTGTGAAGCCAAAGATGCAGCAGAGACCCCAAAAGGTTGGAGAATCCAGGAACGTGGGTCATCTGAGTACAGCTGCAAGAAGGGAGCAAAGCCAGCCTAGAGAGAAGCCATGGGAGCTGCACACAGCTGCAGTGCCCCGGGAACAGAGCCACCCAGACACTGGACATGGAACTAGAGGGTTTCCTGTTCTCCTGCTGAATTTTGGACTTGTTCTCCTCCCATTCCTTTCTGTCCCCTTATGTGTACATTTTAGAATGGAAATGGTTATCTTGTGCCATTGTCTGTTGATTGTGTTTAATTTTTAAACATTTTTCCTGGGGCTCATAGCAAAGAATTTGCCTTAAATTTCATAGAAACTCTGGACTTGGATCTTCAACAATGCTGGAACTGTTAGGACGTCAGCAACTCTTATAGATGGACTAAATACCTTTTGCATAAAGGGATGTGCATGAGAGTTTTGGGGACAGGGGCAGAGTATTACGGCTTGTGTCTAGATGCCACCCAAAGCCTCATGCTGTCATAGGTGAGGCTTTTCAATGCTGGCTGGATGCAACATATGTGATGCTGGGGTATTAAGTTGGACAACTGACTGGTTTAGCATAGCTCTGGGTGTGGATAAGGAGGCCACCCTGAATGTGGGTGGCACCACCCAAAGGCTTGTAGCCTGGATGGGATAAAAGGGAAAGGGAAGTTTGCTGTTATTGCTCACTGCTTTTCTGCTTCCTGCCTGTCCTGCCATGGACTGTTTCTTCTCTGCAATGCCCCTCTGCCATGCTGCCCTGCCTTGGAGCCAGCCCACTATGGACTGAAGCCTCTACAGATTGTGAGTGGAAATAAACCCTTCCTCCTTTAACTTGTGGGCATTTTGTCCTAGTGATGAGAAAGTAACCAAGACAGTATGCAAAAGTAATGATGACGAAAATTGCTGAGAGAGTGGGTTTTACATGTTCTCTTCACAAAAAATAAGTATGTGAGGTAGCACCTATGTTACTGAGTTTGAGTTAGCCATACCACAATGTATACATATTTCACAACATCATGTTATATACCATAATATATGCATTTTGTCAATTTAAAATAAATTTTTTTTAAAATTCAAAATGCTGAAAATATTGAAGTGTTAACTTTTTTAAAATTAAAATAAATGATTTTATGTTAACATAAATAACATTTTTATGAAAAATAACTATAGTCTAAAACATTAGTAGCAGAAGGGCACTGTTACATTTGCAAACCTCTACAAGGATGTCTAGTTCAGTAGACAAGGGCTGGATTCTCACATCTGCTTCAGCCTTCAATCTGTTGCGAAGCCACGCATCTTGCAGTCTCTGGAAAATTCCACTGTGTACTCAGAGAGGAGCAAGAGAGGGGGAAAGGAAAATGATGTCTCTGTATTATTATGAAAATAGTTTTGGCTACACTTTGAAAACTACTGATACACAGTATAATCACAACTATATAAAAATGAGTATATAGAAATTTCTAAATAAATGTAATGATGCCACTTAGTGGCGCTTTAGATTATTACAAGCCCTGGTTACTGAGCATGTGTGCCTGTGGTATACAATACGTGTGATAATATGGCATGCTTGCATGTGGAGTATGTGTGTATATATGGCGTGTGTGTGCAAGTATGTATGAACATGGTGTGTGCATGTGATGTGGTATAAATGTACGCATACAATGCGTGTATCATGTGTGTTATATAAGTACATATATATATGGTCCACAGGTGTGTTGCCCTGGGTCATGTGTACATGTGGTATAGTACAAATGGACAGCTGCAGCATTACAGCCCCTCTCTGGGACATGCTTGAAGGACAGTGGTGAAGGAAAATCATCACAGTGGGCAGAACTTGGGTCAGTGCACGGGGTAATACATTTTGCCTGGCAGGAGAAACAGCCGGATATGCGACTACATACTGATTCATGGGCCATAGCCAATGGTCTGGCTGGATGGTCAGGAATGTGGAAAGAACATAACTGGAAAATTGGTGACAAAGATATTTGGGGAAGAAGTATGTGGGTTGACCTCTCCATGTGGGCAGAGGATGTAAAAATATTTGTTTCCCCTGTAAATGCTCACCAAAAGGTGACATCAGCAGAAGAGGACTTTAATAATCAAGTGGATAAGATGACCCGGTCTGTGGATAGTGGCCAACCTCCTTCTTCAGCCGCCCTGTCATTGCCCAATGGGCCCATGAACAGAGTGGGCATGGTGGCAGGGATGGAGGTTATGCATGGGCTCAGCAACATGGACTCCCACTCACCAAGGCTGATCTGGCTACAGGCTGTATATGCTTTGAATCAGCGCCCACTGTATGGCACTGTGTCTCCCACAGCCAGGATTCATGGGCCCAGGAATCAACAGGTGAAAGTAGGGATGGCACCACTCACCATTACTCATAGTGACCCTTTAGCAAAATTTTTGCTTCCTGTCCCCACGACCTTATGTTCTGCTGGCTTAGAAGTCTTAGTTCCAGATGAGGGAAGGCTTGTACCAGGAAGCACAACAATGATACCATTGAACTGGAAGCTAAGATTTCCCTCTGGTCATTTTAGTTTCCTCATACCTCTGAGGAAACAAAGCTGAAAAGGAAGTCATAGTGTTGTCAGGGGTGACTGACCCAGATTATCAAGGAGAAATTGGACTACTACTCCACAGTGGGGGAAAGGAAGAATATATGTGGAGTGCAGGAGATCCTTTAGGGTGCCTCTTAGTATTACCATGCTCTGTTGTTAAAATCAATGAGAAACTACAACAACCTAATATAGGCACAATGAGAAATGGCCCAGAGCCTTCAGGAATGAATGTATGGGTCACTCCACCAGGGGAAGAACTAAGACCTGCTGAGGTGCTTGCTGAAGGCCAAGGGAATACAGAATGGGTAGTGGAAGAAGGTAGTTCTAAATACCAGCTACAACCCCGTGATCAGCTACAGAAAAGAGGATTGTAATTGTACTATTTCTCCCCTAATACAGTTCTAATGTAATATAATGTTAATAGACTTGATGCTGGTCCTTAAGGATTGTTAAACTGTGTTATAATGCTCAAGTTGTGAAATGATAAGAATAAGCATCACCCAAGGAAAACTTACCTTCTATTTTGGTGAGGGAATTAGTGCCTTTACATTTGTAGGTAGGATAGTTATAACATGTTAGGCATAATTACAAGCATGTCTTTGTGTCTGGAAGCTAGTTTAAAGAAATGTGTCTGACTGCCAAGTTGACAAGGGGTGGAGTGTTACGGTTGATTCACTGTGTCAACTTAGGGAGTCTAGAGGTTTGGCTAAATGACTCAGCAGGAAGCCAGGGTGCTTACTTTGTATTCATCCTGAGCTTGTGTAAGAGGAGGGCATGCAGAGGATGTGGGTGTAGAGGACCACCCCCACTTCACCCCTAGGCCACATAAAAAAAGGGAATTGAGAAAGGACTGGCTGCTGGTTCTTTGGAGGAGCTCCAGTCTTCTCTTCAGCTTGGTCATCTGGCTTCTGGTGCAGACTGTTTGGCTTCTGCCTGGGACTCTTCAGCCTTCTGGTGTAGGCTCTCCGGCCTTCATCATAGATTCTTCAGCGTTTCGCTGCAGACCCATCGGCCTCCTGATACAGACTTGCACAGACACTGCAGTGAGCTCCAGGCCTGGGGCTGGGCTCTTCAATCTCTCCTCTGTGCAGACACCCTCTGCATGCTCCCTCATCCAACTCTGTGGCTGACCATCCTAAGCCAAACTTGTAATCTCTTATACATTTGTATATCTTGTGTTATATCTGTTTCTTCAGTAACCCCTGACTGATACAACATGTGTTTGCAGGGGTGGGGGTGACATATGTCCATGTAGTATGTGCGTTCATGTATCTGGATATATTTCATTGCTTTGTGGTATGTGATGTATGTGTGTGCATGTGTTACACTGTGTGTGGCATGTGTACATGATGTATGGTTTGGTTTTTTTTGGTACCGGGAATCGAACTCAGGACCTTGCACTTGCCAGGCAGGTGCTTATGCCACTGAGCTATATCCCCGGCCCGATGAAGTATGTATTGCTGCAGTGTATGTGTGTGCATCATGTATGCTGTTGATGGTGTGTGTTGACATATGTTGTACATCTTTGTTTGAGGAGTGTATATGTGTGTATATGTGTGTGTTTAGGACTTACACATGAAAGAATGTGGTTAATTTCTCAACACCTTCTGCATACGTACCTGCTCTGTGCTAAGTCTATCAGTATTCAGGAAATGTACATTAAACGCCCCTCAGAGTAACATGCAGGCATAGGTCTTCAGGAGGCATTCTCTCCTCTCCACCAGCTTCATGCCTTAGGCAGTGCTTCTGCCTTCTTGGAGGGAAAATGCCTTGCTCCAGTGAAAGAGTGGTGGATCCAGGACTCCAACTTGAGTCCTCCAATCAACATGAATTTAATAATCCTGTACTAATCTGTAAAAATTAACATTAAATGTTAGTTCTAACAACATTAATTGTAATGTTATAATATTATGTATAACATTATAACACTAATGATATAAACATTAAAATGCTATAAAAATCCTCTAAGGCTGGGGATATAGCTCAGTGGCACAGTGCCTGCCTGGCAAGCACAAAATCCTGAGTTCAATTCCTGGCACAAAAAAAAATCCTCTAAAATCTAAAAATCACTTATATGCTATAATCAAAAGAGTGTAGGCAAGCAGTATAGCTCAGTGGTAGAGTACTTGCCTAGCATGCTTGAGGCCTTGGGTTCTATCCCCAGTGCCACAAAGAGAAAGAAAGAGAGAGGGAGAGAGAGAGAGAGAAAGAGAGAGAGAGAGGGAAGGAGAGGGAGAGAGAGAGAGAGAGAGAGAGAGACCCATGTATAGTGACTCACACTCCAGGCAGATCACCCACCTTGCCCTTCCTTTCCTTGAGGCACTCTGACATCAGAAGAATGCTGCCCAGTCCCAGCTCCCAGTGTCTCCCAGGAGGCATGTGAGGGCTGGTGTCTGTGCCAGTATCACAAAATCCCACTGCTAGCCACAGCCACCAGTGTGGGGGAGGGCACTCTGTGTGCATTTGTGACCACCAAGAGCACCCACGAGGGTCGCCATCCTCATGCAAAGGACACAGAGATTTACAGCTTCCCTCCTTGTCCTTTTCCCCAGTTCCTGGGTGCTTGGGTTCAGCCAGCAGATAGATAGATAGATAGATAGATAGATACATACATACATACATACATACATACATACATACATACACAGATAGGTAGATAGACAGTAGATAGATAGATACATATAGATAGTAGATAGATAGCAGACAGATGACAGATGATAGACAGAGATAGACAGTAGACAGACCGATGACAGATAGTTGATAGATGATAGACAATAGATAGATAGATAGACAGATAGTAGATAGACAGATGACAGATAGACAATCGAAGGGCCGGAGATATAGCTCAGTGGCACAGTGCCTGCCTGGCAAGCGTGAAGTCGAGTTCAATTCCCAGTACAAAAAAAAGAAGACAATTGACAGACAGATAGATAGATATGGTGGCACACGCCTGTAATTCCAGTACTCGGGAGGCTGAGGCAGGAGAATCATTGCAAGTTTGAGGCCAGCCTGG